CCCCAAAACCCCAAAACCCCAAAACCCCAAAACCCCAAAACCCCAAAACCCCTTTGGTGGAATCCAAAATTGAACTTATTAATTTCGTCTTTTATTGGGACCCCCAAATTGGAAGAGGCCAGGGGGAGGGAAATAAGCAGAAGAAGTGTAATTGCCAGGTGGGTTTAGGAAGAGGAGAAGTGGAGTAGGGAGTTAAGGGAGGGTTTAAGAGGGAAAATTGGGAAATTGTGAAGCAGGTGGGTTTAGAAGGGAAGAGGGCCAGGAGGAGGGGTTAGAGAGGAATTGTTCCTTTTGGGCTTCATAGTGGAATTTCTTGTTCTTTGGGTGCCAGAACAGTAAATTTCAAAGAAATTGATTTAAAAGTACTTGGGAAGAAAGTTAATTAGATTAAAGGACAATAAAAATTCTAATTATTCGCTAGCATTTTTCTTAAACTTATAATCTCCTCTCTTTGCTAAATATTTGAATTCTTCTAAACACAATCATCCTTCTTATCTTTTTAATAAAATTATATTTTCTTGCTTTTCTTCCATCTCACCTAAATCAAACATAATTAACCTCAAACTTCACTCTCAAAAATCTATAACCCCTCATTTAATACAAAATTCAATTTCCTATTCAATAAGCCCCTTCAAATCCTTTCCCATTACCTACCTTCTACTGTTCGAACCCTGTTTCATTAGGCTGATGGAATCTATTTACAAACTCCGTGTCAATATCATAATCCTTAAGCACCTCGACGAGCTCACTAAAGATCAAATGGGTCTTCAAGTCCTTCTTGTTTCTATTATCAACATCATAGATGCAGCTGGAACTCGGAGATCAGAAGAGTTTATCAAGGAAGATCTCCACTACAATAGAGAAGAGCGCGTGCACGCGCTCGTCTTTAGTGGAGAGCCCATGCGCTTTGCATATCATCTTGGTGATCTCAGGTGAGAACTTGGGGAAGTACTCATCTAAGTGCTGTAGCAAGGCTGCTGAAGGCACTGAGTCGGTAGACAAGCTGCTGTTGGTCTCCATTTTGGAAAATTAGAGGATAAAAGGAAATTATTATGTTAATTTTGAGTGTAATTTATAAGGGGTTTTGGGGTTTTGGGGTTTTGGGGTTTTGGGG